AAAGCAATTTATAAATAAATTTTAATAAACGAAAATAGTATTTCCATGAAATTGTTTAAGTTTGTTTCATCATTTCATCATTACTTTCGAAATTTACGTTAGGGAAGTTAGTTGAATTGTTACTCTATGTAGTTCACAAAGTCTGGATTGAAAAACATTGAAACAAAGTACATATGATTTAGTTTCTATTTAGGTACAACCATTTTTTTACTTGACTTTTAATTTTTTGCTGTTTACATCCAAATTATTAAGATTACATTACATCAAAATATTTTTTAAAATATTATCAGTAAGGATGATATATTATTAAACTTTAAATCATTGTAGTATTTGCTTTTTCCTCTACTTTTCTTTATAAAAAAGGGAAAAAATATCTTTGTTAATCGATACCCAGGCTGATTTCCTTACACATTCTAGCATTGTGAACATTTTAAATATTGGCATTCTTATATAGTTTTATTTCTGGTATTAAGCTGATTCAATTAAGTAGCTTTTTAAGACTTAATACAATGAAAATGACCAGTGTTTCAAAAATAATAAATTAAGCTTTCAAAACTAAAGGAGGCCTTTTAAGGTAATTACTCTTTTAAAAATATCAAAAAGTAATCTGCTAAACAAAATATAAATTTATGATTTTTTTTCAAAAGAGATATAATTATGTTAAATACTCCAAAATGTGGCAGAAACATCTGTTCCTAATTTTTTTGAATTTTAATTTTACTTAAGTTTAAATGATATTGTTTGGCAGTCATAACAAAATTTCCTTAAAAAGCAGCTGTCTCTATAAAAGTTATTTAAAATATAAAGTAAATGTATAAATATAGAATTAAAAAAACCTAAGGAAAAGGTTCAAAGAGGTCACAATTATATTGTTCAAATTTTCAAATAATTTCTAATGCTTCATCAATTTGGGTTTAGAATTCCAGACTTTTCTTCCTTTTTGATGTGAACTCTATTAAAAGAGTAAAGTAGCATATTTCTTGAGGCTAAGAGGTACAGGAAGTCTACATGTCTTCTGAGACAATTGATATGCTATTTTATCTTTGCCTTTTATATTAAATCTAACATAAAAATTAAGATTTAATATCCTGCCAATGATTCCTTAATGCTTCTTTCTATGAAGTATGTGAGTCACTAATCAGCTATTTGTTCAGTGACTTGGAGCAACAACATGGAGCCATACACGGATAAGTAAAAGAGACCATGCCTTTAATACGGTTATACTTTCAAGAGAGAAAAGTCAAGTTAAACATATATCAGATATAAAAGCAGTCAAACTTAAAGAGTTATATCACAAAGGCTATCAGGGTGACATGAGGGGATACACTTTTCTACATATAACGGAAAGAAAATTAGAAATCCAAGCTTTGGAAACAATCCTTTAGAATATAGTTATTATACTATATTAATCACTGACACAGGAATACAAGACAAAACTAAAACAATCAAACAAACAAAAAAAAACTCCTGAAAACTATCCTTGAAATTGCTGGTAAAGGTAAAGAATAGAAATAGAAGTTTATCCAGAAATGCCTTTGTGCAGAAAATGTCTGTTTTTAATACATTAAAATTTATTAGAAGACATAAATCGCTTTAAAACATATTTGTTTCTGTTTTACTTTATAAGTATCCAAATAATACACATATTTGTACCATCACTTTACAATCATATTCCTATATTAATATAAAAATTTAATTAAGAGTAATTATTATGTGATAAACTGCATAAGAAACATAAACTAGCAAGTATATAATTAAAATAAAAAACTCATTCTATTTGTTTTGAGAAATCTATCAACTGCAGTCTTAACTGTTCTTAAAAGAGATAAAATTAGGTTTCACTTTTTTAAGTAATTTAAAACCATTTTAAGTGATCTGACAATCTAAGAATATAATAACTAAAATTACAACTAATCTTAGTTTTACTCTTTTAATCTATCAAATCTCTGGGAGAAAATATCCCTTTAAGATGATCCGGAAAATCTAGAAGCCTCCATACATGTTAGAACAGAAAAAGTAATTAAAAATCTGAATAACTGAAGATACTAATATTTGAAATAAAAATTTGATAAATATGAATTCTTGCTGGTGCTTCTAAAAACTGATACAATCAAATTTAGTTTTGGGGGGAACCACTCACAATCCAGATGTTTAAAATGTGAAATAAATAAAAAAGCTAAAACATTGTTAAGAGACCAGACATCCAGTTCTTGTAACCAAAATGGTTCAATACCTGTAGTATTTGCCATATACTCAAATAAGGAGGAGAACATAGCAAGCATTTTATAGTTTGGATTTAGCTACAAAACAGAAATAGCTTCACAGATCACTTCTTACCCTCAATGCTTCTGAGTAATGGCTACAATAGAAAATAAAATTAAAGATGCTAAGGTTCCTAGTTTTAGAAGAACTCTTTTCTCTCTCCTATCCCCCATTAAGTAAGAAAATGTGTCACACTGAGTTTACATAGTTAAGATAAAATTTGAGGTCTAAAACTTTGAGGTCTAAAGCTTTGGTCTTATTCCTAATTTGATAGCCTGATAAAGACTTAGAGAAAATAAAGGCCCACCTATCCCTAAAAATATATCTTTTGAAAATCAAGTCCGTTCAAGGAGAGGAAGCACTTCATTTCTATTTTACATCGAAGCATCAACTAACTCACCTGAAATCTATGGTTCCTATTTCCTTACTTAATACACAGAAAAAAATCATCTACTATTCCTTAGTGACAATAAAAACAATCCTCTTTTACTGAGCTTGTTAAACATCTTCATCAAATGCTTATCTTTAGTGACCAATTTTTTCTAGAAATAAATTATATTAAAAGCAAAGATTAAACAGTCATTACTTATATGGCATAATCAATCGTTAGCAAGCATATATTGAGTAGTATTATGTACCAGAACTGTGGAAATAAGAACAAATAAGATATCACTAAGTGGGCCCATAAAAACTTCCAACAAAGAAAATCCATTACAAAAAGATAAATACCTTAAAAAACCTTACAATTTCAAGACAGAGTTAATTTGGTCTTTAGCATTTAATTGCACTAAATAACATAAAGAAATATATTTTTAATTGGAAACTTCCCTGGTAATTTTTAATTAAATTTAAAAAGTAGATGGCAAAAAAGGAAGCACTATTTTTATAAAGTCTTTAAGATACTGTAAAACATCTTTCTCTTTAAGAACTTGATAATTTTCATATTTCCCATGTCTAATGAAAATAGTTCAGTCTAATCATTTTAGAGAACAAGTTTCAACAAATTCAACTTCTAGAAATAATTATATACAAAAATAGGACATGCACATTCTCTGAAAGGTAAAAAAAATAAATAAACATTTATTATTAATGAAACATATTTACCATTGGAACCCTCATTTCAGAGCCCACATATGTGTCCTTTGTATTAATAAGCAATATCACTTCCTTACTATTTTATACAGAAAGAATTTACTATCACTCAAATCCCTAATGGAACACAATATGATTTCAATCATGTATAATAAAGGGAATAACTGAAACATAGAAATACTAAATTGTTTGCCAAAGACCTGAGAAAAACTTGAGGCAAAACAGAAAACAACAGTTGGAACCTATTATAGTTACCTGACAAATTGAACACAATTTCCCAACGATATTAAAAAATTATACATGTAAATTCACATAAACATATATACAAATAACTAACAAAGAAGTAATTTTTTATATAGCCTGAATTACATAGAGAAGTGTGGTTTCAAAATCACAGCTGCTAAACAGCAGGTTCTAGTAAGTCATGTACATTTGTTCAAAGAAACCTAAGAAAATATATATTCAATAAAAGATTAATTAAATAATGGGTTTTTTCAAATACAAAACCAAGAAATTTAATCTTATAAGAGAACCCAATAGACAAATATAATAAGTCAACTGTATCTCTGACCAAGCAGTGAAATATATCTTTAGAAAAAATAAAGTCCAATTTAAAATGTCTTAAAATTAAAGTTAAAATTAAAAGAATTGCATGTGTACATAATATTGAAGATGCAACTTAATCATAAAAGTGTGGACTTTTTAAGAGATTTGCAAATAATGATGGTGCCAATTACAAAATAAAAGTGATGTTAAAGGAAATGGCAGATATTAGCTTATAAGATTACCTTTTTAAACACATTAAATTCTACATAAAATTCTTTAACCCAAGAGCAATAGTGCTTAAACTGAATGTATTTTTTTTACAAAACAATCACATTACAACTATAAAACATTTTACGGCATTGCTTTATATCCAGCTTATTTTGTCCTCAAAAACATTAATATATAGTATTTATAAAACATTTAAGTCTCTCTTCATTACCTCTTTAAAACCTTGGCTGAAAATCTGTGATGTTATCTTCTTAATAAGGCAAAACCAAGGAAGAAGACTTTGTATATCCACCATTTCTAAAGTAACAAAAATATCTTTACCTTCCAGAAGACTTTCACAAAATTCCAGACACTGGCATGTTATAATAATGCAATTAGGAACGAAAATTTGTAACAGAAACTAATAAGTGAGAGGAAAGACTAATATTCAAAACTCTTGTCAACGATTAAAGAAAGATAGTACCTAATATTTTAAGACAACTAAATTATGATATATTGAAGATGCTCTTATTATAAAGTAGTTTTTAAAATAATAATTGTATTTATTTCCTGGGTTTTTTCAAAAACAAAACCATATAAATAAAAATATAGTGAAAATGTATAGTTGTAATAGCAAAAAGGCCTGAATCACTCTACTATATTAAACAATAATAAATAAGAGGGTAGATATTTCCATAGGTTCAAATAATTAAAAAGAAGATAACCAGCTAAGTTTTTAACTTTTGTTTCAAATTGATCATGTCCAACATTGCCACCATCAACCCCAAGGAAATTTCCTCTAGAATAAATTTTTGTCCACTATATTAGATTATTTTTATGTTTTATTTATCTTTTGTTTATTAATTTTTCTTCTTTTGTTGTTTTATGTACTCCATTATGTTATGCTTATGCTTGGGATTTTTTTTTTTTTTACATAAATCGGAAAATTATATTGTGGTCAGAATTATTTATGTGTATCTCTTGATATTAGAACTACTTTATCCTAAATTTAAGTGAGTTTAACCTCTACGTGTGCTCTCATGGCATTCAGAAAACACTGGCCAAATGTTATAGCCTTTCTTAACTTTGTTGAAGCACTTCATATTTCTTCACTGGAATTTTAATTTTCTCATCTTTTTCAATGATAGTATAAAAAACTCACAAAATTTAAAACTGCATGCCTTTATTTGAGGAATTAAAACAAATAGAGATAATATTTTAATGACAAATGATATCATTTTGGAAGCAAATATTTTAAAAACTATAACATTACTAATATATGTTTTATTGATTTCTTGTTTTTGAAACATTAGATTTCTGTGCCCTCAGTTAATTTAATAGGGGTTTATCAAAAGAAAAATTTTGAGAGACATCAGAAAGGGTTCTCTTAACATACTAAAAGATTGTGTCACTATCCTTTGAAAGAGTGATACCTCTTTTAAATATGGTCTCCTTTGTTCACCCACCCACTCCTCCATCTCACCCAGATGGGCTTTGAGCAATTTCTTCATCTCAGCAAAAGAGGCAAATGGCTAAAATTGGCAGTGTCTGGACCATCAGGAATAGCCACTGTGCAACGTCAGCTGAGATTCCTGATTAGCATTATGTCTGCTAAAAAAAACAAAAAGTACCAAAACAAAACAAAGAAACAAAGAACAAAACAAAAAACAAAAAACAAAATCTATCTAGGCCATCTTTTCACCTTTCTTTATTTCATAAGAGAGAAGCATTTAACACATTTGTTTTGATAAACGGTAAGGAACTGCTAATAAAACTCAGGTCAATAAAAGTATATCATTACTGTTAATAAACTTCAACTTTTATAACACATAACATGCTGGTAATTTTATTGTTTTATGATATAAAACCTAATAATCCTAATACAAAGTGTTTGAATCAAATTGTTTTTGCAGCCTCTATACAGTATAGAATATTGTCAACTTCCCTCGTCAAAAAGAAAAATTAATTCTCTTATGTTCAAAATCCAGAATATTACATCTAAATCCAAAGAATAACTACATATGGCAGGTTAATAAGTGGATAAAATTTGCTTTGTAAGTACTATTTCCACTAAATTAGATTTTAGGAAAGGTCCTATACTGTGATTTTTTCCCCCCATATATCTGTGATAAGAAAATCATGAAAAGGAACCTTAATCCCCTAAAGACGAGGTCTCAGCATCCAACTTACCTGACAAGATTTTCATTGTCTCCAGTTCCCTTGCAAGTTGCACATTCAGTTCGTAAATCTTCAGCCTTGGGCTTCTTTTGTAACACAGACTGCCTTTGTCTTCTCTCTCTAGGAACTCTTTCCTGCCATACCAGTAAGAACAAAACAAAACATAAAACAAAAGCAGGATATGAAGAAAACTGAAATAATTTTGAGTAAGAAAGTTTAGACTATGTAAAAGAATGCTTAACTTAGTCCAACCTCATGTTTTTCTTCATCAGGAATGAAGCTCCGTTTTCGTCCTCTGGTTCTCTAAAAAAAAAAAAAGAAAAGAAAAGAGAAAAGAAACGAAAAAAAAAATCCACAAAAATATCTAATGTTTAATTAATAATAAAAATAAAATTTCTCTGTTAAATATTAATGCTTAAGTTAAACACTTGTTAACTTAGTATTTCTAATTAATGTTATATTGCTCTATTGCACTTTGTTGTAATTTATGAACAGTAAATAAAAACATGATAAATACACTTTATAGCACTTTACTTTTAAATAGCACAAGTGTCTTATAGGAAAAATAAGTCTGAAGAGTTTTTTTCAATACTTCATATTATGTCACAATTATGATTTATGCAGAACATTTAAATTTTCCTAACTTATATTATATGATTTCTACAGCTGAAATGCTAAACCTGGATTCATACATCTATTAAATGCTGTGTGTGCGCATAAACGCATACATGTTTGTGTAACATAAACATTCGATTTTTAACGGTCATTTAAAAAATGGAAGGAAAAGATCTCAGATGTCCCCAAATCCTAGTTAAAATAAAACATGATATAATTGACTTATTTTAAACTTAGTTAAAATTTACATCCTATATTTCAGAACACATTTACCATTTGAAAGACAACATCCAAATGCTTAAAAGTAAGAACGTGCAAAATACAAAAAGTATTTGCAGCTAATATGTTAAAAATCTCCACCCCCATAGCACAGCCTGTGTAGATCTATAATCCCATGTGCAGACAGACCACTGCTCTTTAAAGACTGTAAGAGAAAAGAGGCACCACACCCACAAACTCCTGTATTGAGCTCAAAGAATATTCCCAGGTTAGAGTAGTTACCAAAAAATTCTAAGCAGAAATGCTGTCTAATATAAATACATAAACTTTTTCCTAAATTACTGTCATTTCAATACTTCACAATATAGAGTCTCTTGTCATTTACTAACATGGCTAATTGCAGGCTGTTTAATCTTTCCTGAGATAACCAACAGTTGACTAAATTAATCATTCAAAAAAAGTAAATCTATAGATTGTGTATTCATTTACATTTGTGATGCCAATTAGTATGTTTTAACTACATTGTGTAAGGAATTAGGAAGAAAAAGTAAGACTGTATCCAAGAAAAGTCTTTAAATGCAGACCCTACATCTATTCTTACTTCCAAAGACAGCACTGAGCCTTGCTCTCCAAAAGGTCAATCATGGATCCACTCATAAGCACTGGCATCCCTTAGGAGCTTGTTAGAAATGTAGAATCTTAATTCTCACTACAACATACTGAATTGGAATCTGCCTTTTAACAAGATCCCCAAGTAAGTCACACATGCATTAAAAGTTTGAGAACATAGGTATGGAAGAGTCCTTAATACTGACAATACCTATCTAAGTTCTAACTAAAACTTTACGGCTAGCTCATTATATACCCATCTTTCCCTTCTGCGACGTTCCTGACCTTTACCCTTCAATTTCTGTCTCCCAACACAGTTCATCCCAAAACTGGTAAGGACCATGTCATACTCATCTTTCTAAACCCAATAAAACTTAATACAGTATGTATTACATACAGGCTCAATAAATTTGTTTTAATAAAATAAATAAGTGGTTAGACTGAAACTCTTTAAATGATTATGCTAGATAATACAAATGATAAAACAACTGACAAAGAGGGTAAATTATTGTTTCCTTCTCTAGTAGGCTATTTTCATTTTACATAATTTATGTATATAGGGCATTTCAAGAAGGTGATCAGAATAACCAACATCAAGGGAAAATATTCAAATTACTCATTTTAGTTCTATAAACATCTCAGAATGCTCAAAAGGCCTTCACACATTCCCATATTTCTCTTCATTCAACTCATCCTTTGGGTAATAAAATAGCAAATGAATCATTTAGTTTTGAATCATCTAATTAATCTTTGAAGTATATATGTGAAAGTTCCAAATTCATGTTTTCAATTCTTTTAAAAGTTCACAAATTATTTACCATTTCTATTAATACTTTAAATCTTCCAGCATCTGGAACTCTATCAACTGGAAGTTTTTCCTACCCATACTGTAGTATCATAAGGTGTAATAATGGCAATGAGCAACCCTAACACACAACGGCATAGTTACATTTCTCCATATTTATAAATTCCTTCTTTCATAAATATGTATATATTTTATTAAAGTGCTATTTTTAAAATGAAAATATTTATAATTACCTAAAATGGTCATTCTAAATTAAGTGCATTTATTACCAAATGGTGATCATTGGTGTTTTCCTATAGTAATTTTAAATAACTAAATATAGGCAACATAAATAATCTAGCCAGAAAAAGCTGTTATGTTACAAGCATTATGAAATTACAGCATCTTAGAGTTTTGAAAAAGTGATCTAGGGAAGTAACTTGATGATCACACAGCTAACAACTAACAGAGGCAAATCTCAAACCCAGGTATCTCAACTCTTAATTCAGCTATTTTTCTTACATGCCAAAGCCAAGGTTAATAATTTAATCCCAAGTGGAGTTGAGCAAAATTATCATGAGAAAGCAAATGCTTCCACTTAAATATTTAAACTATAACATCATAATGCCTAAATGGAGAATTCTTACATTTTGAAACAAATTAGAGAATTATACCCAATGGAGAGGACACCTCAGTAGCTCAAATTAACACTCTATTCTACCCAATTTGCTACCCTATATGGTATAATGACTAACATGATCCGTTACCAAAGTAAATTATAGCAAGCTTCTTTATCATTTATCACACCATTAATATTTCCAAAGGAAAAAATAAGGGGATTTAATTCAAACATATTTCTTCAACCAAGTCTTCCAACCAAATCCTCCAACCAAGACCATGCTGAGAGTTGTTTCTTTCTAGTTTTAATGAAGCAGCAGCAACTGTAAGCATGACAACTCATTATTGCCTATGATCATAACAGATCAAATATCTTAAACATGGTCCCCCTGAATGAGTAAGAAAATGTAAGCGGGGTTAAAAGGAGGAAGAAATGACACAAAAAAGCAAAAATAAAAACAAAAATATATTTGGCTTATCTAACAAATTTCAATTATCAGAGAACTTGTCCCATCTTAGATGTATGGAAGTATTTATAACCAGGTGTTTATTTTATGGTGTACATTGAGGCTGACACTATTCTAGAAAGAAGATAAAACAGCAGATTGTAAATAACATGTGGCAGGAAGAATTTTATTTAACAAGTATGTGTTTCAGAACTTAACACAGATATATTATTTAGAAGTTCTAAATGATCAACTGAGGGTTCAATTCCAAATTGTGTTTCCTTTTGCAAATATTAATCTATTAAAAGTAAATGAAAGTTTGAAACTCACTCCAAATTTTGACACATTCCTATGTTTTTTCTGTTTTATTATATTTCAAGAACTTTATTTCCCTAAGGAACAATGCAATCTGAGCTACTCAGATCACTTGGCTCTTTGTCTATTTACTTGAAGACAGGAGATGATAAAAAACATCCATGTAGAGAATGACATGATATTAGAGATAATATATTTAAGTTAGAAAAGACTAAAATATTTTTAGTAATCAGGCATCATTTTAATAGCTTATTCATCTGAAACAAATACTTAAATGTTTCAATAACTTCATTCATTTGGGCTGGGAAACAGGTAACAAATTTAAATTAACTTTTTAGAGCTGGGGTAACTTTAATGATGAATGATGAATGATGGTTTCTCAAGGTTAGAATGATTCATTTGACAAATGAACTAAATTTAAAGCTAAAGGACAGTGCCTCGATATATTTAATATCATGATGGGTTTCACATATTCATTTGTGCACTGCTTCTCTAAATTTAACACTTATCTTTTTGATGACTGATAAACATTCACATATACAATTAATAAATAAGTCATTATGTAATCAGATAAAACATAAGGAATGCCTCCCTACGTAATTTATACAGAGAAAATATTTATTCTTGAGCAAAATTCCAAATTCAATGTTAATTAGGACAATTAAATAAAACCTTGAAAACCTCTGTCAAGCTAAATATCTTCAGATTTATACTCAGGAATAAATGCCAGCAGCTGTCTGGCAGCTGTTCAAAATGCTTCAATACAAATTTATATATATATATATCTCCACACACACACATATATATATAAAGTTTATACATACTCTAAAAATAAGTATTTGTTTTCAATTACAGAATAATATATTGAAAACAATCATATATTAATGTACATAAAATATTCAAAAGAAAAGTGTTATATATATAAACAGGGTTGAACAAGGTGCCATCTGTTTCTCTGTTGGCTCCTGGCACACAACAGATGGAATGGTGATCACCAAAAGTGAGTGTTTTCCTTTCTTGTCAATTGGCTATAGGGTTTATTTTTATCTAATTTAATTTTATTAACAGGGTTAGGAAAATACGTAGAAGAATAAAAAGAAAATCATAATCAGTTTGGCTTAAAGCTATAAATTAAAATAACCACAAGCCTAAAAATATAAAATATACATTTTATATAATAAATATTCCTATAAAACCCTTCTCACGGATAATGGTATATTCAAGACAAATAAAATCCTGAAGCTCTGCTTATTCTTTGTTCTCTTTATTTCATACTCCTGGAAATAAATAAAAATGATTGATTTCCAAGAGAAAAAAAGCAAAGCAAAGCCTTTGGGCTCTGAGTAAGATTACTTGAGCTAAAGACACCCATGGTGAAACTCTTTCTTCCAAGTAGGCCAAAGTGAGTTAAGTATGGTCCAGTTCTACCACAAAAATGGTGTCAGGCATTCTTTTAAGAATGACAGACAGAGGTTATATAATCTGTTTAGTACCCAAGGGGTCACCTTGAGTCTCAGACTCAATAATAGCTCTTATATCTAAAGCCCCATGTATATAAACCTTTCTCCACAGAACTGTAATAATTTAGTTAAAACTGTTAGGAAAAAAATAACAAGTAAATTAAAACATGAACATAATGCATAGTAACCTTTAAATCATTTCAATAGCGCTAATCAAAATGTTTCTATATTTCCAAA